CTAAGTATTGATAGTTGTGTAAATACCGTCATACTAACAGCTGTCTGAATAATTTTTGGTTGATTGTAATCCATTACATACCTTTCTATCAAAGTTATCTAACATTATCAAGCTGAATTTGTTCTGACTCTGTTTAACTGAGTTATTGACATATTTTATTACCATTTTTTAAACTATAGTGAATAAACTGTTATAATGTGATAAATGTTGAAGGTGTCTGAATATATTTTGGTTTGACTGTATCTATTTGATAAATGAAGTTAACCAACTAACATTATACATACTCTTTTGATTCCTGTACCCAATATTTAAAAAATTTACAAATGCAATAAAAATATCGGTATCGGTACTCGGTATCGGCAAGTACCAAAAATGAAAGTATCGGTATCGGGCGAGTACTGGAAAAAGTGGTATCGGTGCATCCCTAATTGAAAGCTTTAAAAAAAGTAAAATACCCACTGTACTCATAATGAGTATGCAGAAACTTCAGTCTGGGGATCTTTTCTGACCTCTTTCTGAGATTCTCCTTGTCTTCTTCCCGAGTTTCCTCTGCCGACATATGCTAAATGTGTGGAATGTGATAGTGTTAGCCAAATCGGGACTAAGCAACAGGATGTATTTGGCCGTTTTTCTCTCTTTAAAGAAAGTGGGGGTCATTCCCCCCTCTTTTATTGTAATATTGTTCATAGCACATACGTTTCCATTTAACTGTACACACGGTGGGTATTTTAAGAGCTCAGGGCTTCCTGTTGAGTCAATGCACACGTAACTGTGTTTTTGCTTCACGTGTGTTTTATTATGCCAAGCACTAGACACGAGTAGAACTAACATTACTCTCTTTTGAAGTTCTTTTTTTAAATTTGGAATTCATTAATATTCACCATAGTTGCACATGTGGCACGAATCGCAAGATATCTGACACTTACACTACCATTCAAAAGATTTTTATATGCTTTTGAAAGAAGTCTCTCATGCTTAACAAGGCTGCATTTATTTGATAAAAAATACAGTAATTTATTTTGTTTATTAATATTACAATTTAAAATGCCAGTTTTGTATTTTAGTGTATTATAAAATGTAATTTATTTCTCTGATGGCAAAGCCTAATTTTCAGCATCATTACTTCGGTCTTCAGTGTCACATGATCCTTCAGAAATCATTCTAATATGCTGATTTGATGCAGTGTTGAAAACCGTTGTGCTGCTAAATATTTTTGTGAATCATTTTTCTGGATTCTTTGATAAACAAAAAGTTCAGAAGAACAGCATTTATTTGAAATAGAATTTAACAATTTTCAAGTCTTTACTGTCACTTTTGATCAATTGAATGCATCCTTGTTGAATAAAAGTGTTAATTTTTTTTGAAAAAAATCTTACAGACCCCAAACTAAATTGTAGTGTAAATGTTTCATTTTAAATGTATTTCTGACCACAATGTCCTCTCTTTTACAGATTGCAGTCAACAGACTGTTTTTCAACCTGTGAGCACTACTACAAGCTTGTCATCACACAGTATCTCTTCTGACGGGTCTGAAGTCGACTGGTTTCCTAACAGCACCCAACCGGGTGTCTCTGATGACCTTAACAATAACCATCCAAAATGGCTCCAGATTGACCTCGGAGAAAAGAGGAGGATCACAGGTAATATTTGTAGCCTTCATAACCTGATCTCATTTACATGTTGTTTATTCTGATTGTTCGACTCTGGGTCACCTGACTGTGCCAGTTTCCTCTTTAATACCTCAATGTGCAGATTTGGCTTTCCCAATGCATAGTAGTAGTTTTTCTGTACTTAAGGGAGAAATGTAATGCTATTATATCTAAACAAACACGCAGACATGGTGGAAAGACCCAAAGTTGGTTCCAGAGGGTGTAATTATCCTCACAAAAGGTCTTTCTCATGACCAGTTCTGAGTGCCGAGCATTACACACTCGGAGCACATGAGCGTTCACCCCTCCCCGACCGCTAACTGGTATCTGCATCTTTTGAACAGTTCCTGGTATTGCATAAAAACACAGAAAGACCCTCTCTGTGTCCATTCATCACATATACAAACCCTCTTACAAAAGTACATTTAAATTTAGGAACACGCCGGACATTTATTTTGATTTATTTTATTTTTGATTTATTTGGTTTATTTTGAGCACGACTGTGTGTAGACAGCACAACCGGGTTTATTTCATACAGCTCAAGGAGAAAGAGAATACTCACTTTGTCTCCTAGAGGGAATCTGTGCTTTTGGACATGATGACCCTGAGTGAAACCGGCCCGTCTCAAAGAGGAAGCTCTGTTATTGTTGTGATGATAGCGTAAATTTGTAAGGCTAAATAAAACTAGAGAATAAGCATTTTACCACTGCATTTTTCTCTGAGAAAGCTTTTGTCAACAGGCATGAAAAATTCATGTTTTTTTTTTTTAAATACATTGCTGTAGAGAGTAGGGTAAATCAAAGCAATGAGCCACAAGAAACTAGCGTTGTTGTTATATTAGAATCACCCTTAAACAAAGTAAAATCACTGTAACCTACAGTGCTGTTAAAAAGTTTGGGTCAGTAAGATTTTTTTTTTCTTTAGCAGCAAATCAGCATATTAGAATGATTTCTGAAGGATCATGTGGCACTGAAGACTGGAGTAATGATGCTGAATATTCAGCTTTTTATCACAGGACTAAATTACATTTTAAAATATATTCAAATAGAAAACAGTTATTATACAATTAAATTGTAATAATATTTCACAATGTTACTGTATTTTTTACTGTATTTTCAATTGAAGTTAGTGATTCATCATGCAACGCAAATGACAACTTAAATAATATTCCACCCATTTCATCAAATATTATCGGTACCCATGGGGAGTCATCCGCGTGCAGGACTCTGGTTTAAAGTGCACTGCGAAAGGTATGATCAGGAATAAGGCACGATCGATGCAATGGAGGTTGAGAAGGAAATGTATCCACCTGTCACGTGCATCACCACATATTGTAAGAAGTTTTACTAAAATAAACGGGGTGATAAGATGTTGAGGCTCCGCCGTTATTGAATTTCATTAGCCCCAGTTATGATTTATGCGCGGTTGTTCGTGGGAAAGAAAGCAAGACACGACAGTTACAATATCATGATTGTGGTTAAGTAAGATAGAAGACATCTAAACAAATTATATTTATTTGCATATTAAATATCATAACACATTTATCATTCAATCTAGTGCTTTCAAATATGACAATTTATATTAAATTAAGCGCAACTTGTGTAGATTTATGGAGTAAAAAGGCTTGAATGCTTCATTTTGACATATATTTGTACACTTTTACCATCTAATCAATCTCAGGATGCTTTAATTTTGTGTCGCTAGACGTTTGCGTCACTAGGGTTAAATTAAGTCTTTCTTTGGTCTGCGCTCTGGAAGTGATCTGTTAGTTCTGCTAAACTTTACAATTACAAAAAACAATTATTAAAACTAAAACTGAAACTAAACTATATAAAAACTAAATAGAAATGTGTTCACAAAATAAAAACTAAACTAAATCGAACAAAATTATTAATGAAACTACTAAAAACGAAACTGAATTTTATAGCAAATTTGAAAATGATAAAAAAAAAGATAAATGCATTTAAAAAAAAAAAAAAATGTGAAAACGATATTAAAATAAAACAAATTTTAAAATGCTATCATTTTAAAAATGTGTCAGATGTCCAAATGCTATCCCAGCAGTAATTTTCACTTAGTAGGTGTGAGAATTATGAGTTATGCATGGCTCATCCAGTCAGAACCACAATTACCTTAATTTACCTTACCTGCTTGTTTAGTTTTCAGTATACTCCTCTTCAGCCACAAGAAGGGACGCCAGTGTCTTTTAAAAAAAAAAAAAATTTTTTTTGATTCTTTAGCTTTCCTGACTTGCTTTAAATAGTGGTCTCTCTTTGATGATGAGCAACTTCCTTTCTCAACTTTCAAGTCATCACACTTCAATCTCACAGCTTCACACTTTGACTTGCTTCTGTGATCATCACGGTGGTGTCCTCACGCCTGTGATGTAGTCAATGTTGGAAAGTAATAACAGGCCTTGGGGTCTTTCTGTGTCTGCTGGGAACATGTCACTTGAGTGTTTCCCTCAGGAATGTGTTCAGTAACTGAAGGAGGCCGGCCGCAGGTTTTCCACTGATGCAGATGACGGGCTACACTCTGAAGTGAAGTCTTTAGCCTACATGCTGTCACATTCCTCAGCTGGCTGAGCGTTTGCATGACTGTACTCAGGAGAATGACCTCAGGAGCGTTTGAGGCTAAATGTTGTGTGCCTAGACATTGAACTAAACTTTAGTTTGCTAATGACATAATTCTGAGTCATATTTTTGTTTCATAGGTATTCTGACCACAGGCTTGACCGTTGCAGGCTTCGGATATTTTGTAAAAAACTACAAGATCGAGTACAAAGAGAGGAGTCGCTGGCGAACATTTGTCCAGTATAATAACTCTGATGATATGGTAAGACTTTCTTTATATCACTGCATAATCATGTTCAACACAACCCGGAAATGGCACATAGCGTCCACTATATGGAGTATTTTGGAGTAAAATAAAATAATGTAATAATATTAATGATATTATAGTATTGTCATTTTAAATATATATAAATATATATATAGAGAGAGAGAGTTATTATTATTTCTTTATTTATTGAATTATTGATTTATTATTATATATTTTATTTTTGGTTTTTCCCTGGCCAATAGTAGGAAATAATAATAATAATATATTCTAGAGAGAGAGATTTTAGTTTTTCCCTGGCCAAATGGCATCAAAAATTTTCTTTCCGTTTATGAAAAAAAAAAAAATGTCAATAATGAGCACTAATGAATCACACACAATGAGACCAGAGATGTTTAATAAGAGTCAGTAATAAAAATTCTTTTTTTAAGTGTCTGTGCATCATTCCTCTGTTTTACCTCAGATCTTTGAAGGAAATACTGACAGCCTCCACCAAACACGCAACACCTTCCATCCCTCCATCGTAGCACGAAGCATTCGAATCGTACCTCAACAGTGGCACCGGACAATCGCTATGAGAGTGCAGCTACTGGGCTGTCCTTATGTTAAACCCATCCTAGGTGCATGTCTGACACATAAAGACTTTACAACCTAATTTTTCTCATTCAAACTGTTCACTAAACCACTGTTTCTCCCCAAGCAGTGAATTCATCGTCTCCGGTGACACAGGAGGCCCAGCCTACACAGCCCATTCACGATGACATGACCAAACCAGTGGCCTCTCAGGCTGATCTTGGTATGATTTTACACAAGCTAATCACTCATTAATTATTACAGATTATGTTGCAGATGTACTGAACAAATGTCTGAAAACATGCAAATATCTCTTCCCTACCCTTATTCAAATTTCAGCTTAAAGCATTTTTTCTCTATATTTTGTTACTTGTTGTCTGCCTCAGGGGTTTACTGTCATTAAAGGGTTAGTTCACCCAAAAATGAAAATTAGCCCATTATTTACTCACCCTCAAGCCATCCTAGGCGTATATGACTTCCTTCTTTCAGATGAATCCAATCGGAGTTACATTAAAAATTGACTTTGATCTTCCAAGCTGTTTAATGGCAGTCAGCGGGTGTTGCAGTTCATCAGTCCAAAAGACATGAAATAAAGTGCATGCATCCATAATAAAATCACTTTAATGTAGCTTGTGCTCACTGTTGTAAAGGGAAGCCGTTCCGGGCGGATGACCTCTGAGGTCAGCGCTGCGCATGCGCCAGTGAGTCTCGTGAAAACCAACGAGCAAAGGAAGCAAAGGAAAACCAGTCTCCTCTTGGCTTATATCGAAATCCTCCGACATTCTTCTTTACAAATCCTCATTTTGTACTTCTAATTCGTGACCGTTGTTATGTTTTGATCTCTCCACTGCGCTTCCGCGTTTGTCACTTCTGAGTGGTGCATGCGCAACGACGACGTCTTACGTCATCCTCCCAGAGCTGCTTCCGCATACAACTGTTGGCGCAAGCTAGACTAAAGTGATTATTACATTTTAAATATGGTTATTTTTCTTACAAAAACGCATGGATTCGCTACAGGAGGACTTTGTTCACCCCCCCCCCCAAAATTAGCCCAATTCATGGGCTAATTTTCGTTTTTGGGTGAACTAACCCTTTAACTATAACCATAAAAAGTGAATTACTTAAAATGAACAGCTGAAATAAAATAAAATATTAAATAAATTCAATTGCTTATTTTATTTCAGCTAACATTTCTCATTTTCATTTAGTTTGTTGAAGTACTAAAATAACTAGAACTAAAACTTAATAAAAACTATATAAAAAATGTTTTTTTAAATTAGTAAAAAGTAAACAAAAATTAAAAAACAGAAAATATAAAAATTAAATGTAATTCAAAATATTACTAAGAATTTTAATAGTACATCAATGACACTAAAATAAGTTATCTACCTGACCTTAATTGTTATATTTGTGCAGTATTTTATTATTTACTTGTACACATTTTAATTTATTTCCTTTATAGAAATATATGATTGTTTATTTTTATATTATTATATTATCTTTTCTCATCTCTGAAATGTCATGGTTCAAAAATGTGAGACCATGTACATGAATATTTCTTTGTTTTTCTTCATCATGAAGAAAATATCTTGTATTTTTCTTTTATTTTCAGTTAATCTGGTCGTAATAATTGTGCCCACCATTCTGCTTGTGGTCTTGCTTCTGGTGGGAATCTGCGTGGTTAAAATGCTATACAAGTAAGTCAATTTTATGTTTTTTAATTTTTTAATTGGCATATTAGTTTGGATTTTCCTTGAAGTCCTTTTTGAGATGTAAAAGACCTCTGTTATGATTACCTAACCTTCAATTTGTATCAGCAAAGTAAATAGGTCCGTTTTGATTTCATGTTGACTTTAAAGAAGAAAGGATGAAAGTTAAGACTATTTTGTCTGTATTCTCCATGTTGTGTCTGATGTGAGAGGGAGGTCGAGTCTGATATGTTAGCATTCATTGGAGCACAGCAGGTTTATCTCAGTTCAGCTACCATCTGTTTCAAGTCCTGTTATCAAACACAGCAGACAGTCTCAGCATTGCATATGTACATGCACCAGTGATTCCCAGCCTGCCCTAATAGATATCACAGCCACTGGTGTCAATAAAAGAGTAAACCCTGTGTGGCCTGTTGTGATTCCTCAGCAACACATTGCAGCGGTGTTTAGATTCATAAAGAATGGAGCGATTGAGGACTGTGGGGGATAAAGGAGAGTTGAGGGTCAAAGGTCAGTGTCAGGAGATGTGCCAGCTGCTTTAGTCCTCTGAGAGAGAGCTCAGGGACGGGGGAAATGAGGATGAATGAATGGAGACCTCTTATGGAGTTGTTTCAAGGGAATTGTTAGGCTTCTTCTGTTGTTTAAGACTGATGAAGGTGATGAGAGACCCTAGACTTTGCCACCTGTGTCTCTGATGTTGATGTTTTTCATTGTCCCACAGTAAGAAGACAAAGGAGAACACATATGGCTCTGCGGAGACACATACAGGTAAAACATTCGTTTTAACTGAACTGGCTGGAACATTTAAAGGAATAATCCACAAAACCTGTTATAAACACCAAAGCTGTTATAAACCTATGACTAATTTCTTCAGTGGAACACAAAGCAAGATGTTTACAAAAATGTTCAAACTGCACTTTTTCATACAACGAGAATAGATGGGGAGTAGTGGTCCCAAAAAAATACCACCATAAAAGCAGCCCATATGCTATATGCTATAAATCCTCTGAAGTTATTTCATAACTATATGTGGAAAAAAAAAAGATTTTTTGAAGAATGTTTGTAAAAATATTTAAGCTGCTGTTTTTTGAAAATTTTCCTTCTAAGGCTATCTGATAGCTTTGTATATGAAACAGACTTTGTTTGTTGTTATCATTTATGAATAATTACTTAATTTTTGGTTTGTTTTCATATAAAGCTATCGAATAACTTCAGAAGAATGTGTCATTTGAGTTGCTTTTATGATGCTTTTGTTTTTGGCGCCACTGTTCTCCATTTATTTCATTGTTCGAAAAAGAGCAGCTTTACAAAAATATTTTTGTAAATTTATTGTTTTGTGTTCCATCGATGAAATTAGTCCTACAGATTTATAACAGCTTAAGGGTGAGTAAATAGCAGCAAAATGTTCATTTTTGGGTGAACTTTTTCTTTGCTTTCAGCAAAACGTTGCTTTCAGAACGACATAAAATACATAAAATCATTTCATTCACACATTTGGATGGATAAAACATGACTTCACCATATCTGGATGATCTGAATGTCTTTTTTACCTTTATCATTCACCAAGTCTTCACAAAATATTTTTTGTCTTCATGACATACCCCTTCTTCCAAATATACGTAGCTGCTCAACTCACACAGAGATAAAACCATCTTTCACAGAATGGCTGACAGTTGAAAGATTCTTGTCTACAGGCTGTTGGAGACAGATAAAACAGCCGTTTGCCAGGCACCAGTCCACAGAGTTCACCATCAAGTACAGCTCTGAGAAAGACCCCATCCAGAAGCTGGACCTGGTAACCAGTGCAATGGCAGGTAAAGATTGACTGATTTAATCTTTACACAGTGTCTCATCCGGCTACAAGGATTTTGCTACTCTGTGTTGAGGAAGCTGCTAAAAAAACTGTAGTATGCTAAAGAAATGATTTCTTTTACTGAGCAAGTAGGCATCAATTTGACCAAAAGTGACAGTAAAAGCATTTATAATGTTTTAAAGGATTTCTATTTCAAATAAATGCTGTTCTTTTGAACTTCTATTCATCAAAAAAAAAAAAAAATCCTGTTTCCACAAAAATATGAAGCAGCACAACTGTTTTCAACATTAAAGGGGTCATATGATGCTTTTTTAAAGATCATTATTTTGTGTATTTGGTGTAACAGAATATGTTGACATGCTTTAATGTTCAAAAAACACATTATTTTTCAAATACTGTACATTATTGTAGGTCCTCTATGCCCCGCCTCTCTCAAACGCTTCGTTTTCTACAAAGCCCCCTCCTTTCTACTTTCGGAAGGCCAAATATAGTGCTTTTGCTTTCGCCTAGAAACACACAGCCGTCTCCGTGACATGGCTGCTTCAACACTAACTGCGGTTACTGACACCATGCCTTCTTTCTTTGCGTGCACATTTGAGCGGCATTACGCAGATATTTTCACATAGTGAGGTAGATATGTGGGGCGTGTTAGAACGAGCCGTTTTAGGGGGGCGTGGCAGAGTCTTAACTTTGATAAAGAATATCTCTTTGGTTTTGAGACTTTAGTCTTTGCAACTTCAGGGATCTTATCTATGCACAATCAGCTTGTAACACTCCAAAGAGAAAGGAAAACTTGAAATCGCATCATATGACCCCTTTAATAATAAAAAGAAATGTTTCTTGAGCAGCAAATCAGCATATTAGAATGATTTCTGAATAATCATGTGACTGAAGACTGGAGTAATGATGCTGAAAATTCAGCTTTGCTTTCACAGGAAAAAATTTACATTAAAAAAACGACATTAAAATATAAATTGTTTTAAATTGTAATAATATTTTACAATATTACTGTTGTTATCAATATCACAATATTACTGTTTTATTGTATTTTTATATAAATAAATGTAGCCTTGATGAGCATAAAATAATTCTTTCAAAAACATTAAAACAAATTGCTGACCCCAAACTTTTAATATAATAATCCAAAGCAACAAAACATTTGAGCTGGTAGCATGCTACTGAAAATGTAGTTAATGTTAGTTTAATGTTACGTTCTTCCCAACACTGAAGCAAATATGGTAATAGGACCCAAGTGACCAACAAAATGTCTTATAGCACAGCTTACTTGTCATAGTCAGACCAAAAACACTTCACATGGAAGAGATGTGATTTATCGCTTTGTTTTATTGCTTGTTGTCATGCCCAGTTAGGACATTGTGTTCATGTGGAAATATGGATTTAAAGCCAGAGCGTTTCATTTTTGTGGCTGCAACTGAAGTCAGAGTGGAGAGTTTTTTTTAATTGCCTGATATAGGGGTTCAACTTGTAAGGCAATTTATTGCCCACCAATGAGCTGAAGAAGGAACGTAACCTTTTTGAAATAGTTGTAACAGCCTGAATCCTTGCCAGATGAAAACGCCTGCTAAAATTTAATTGCCTCTTTTCCCCCTACACTCCTCCTGGGCTGTAATTATTGATGATTCAAGGTTTGTGCAAGACGTCAGTCAGATTACAGGCGGTCCAATTTCAAGCCCGCTGCTTGACTTGGAGCCCCTTTGAGCACATACTGAAACTTTTCATTGTTTTAATTCATGCTGTAACAATTTATTTGTTCAATCTTTGTTTTTATTACTAAAAATGTTAGTCTTTTAGACTGTCGGGAACAATTTCAGTACCTAAACTTATTTTATTTCAGCTAGTTGCCAAGGCGATATTTCTCATTTTCATTTAGTTAAAGTTGAAGTTTTTTAATATTTTATTTCAGTTAATCTTTATTTTATTAAAATCTTCTTTTTTTTTCGGTAATTAAAATAAAGCTGAAATAAAATAAAAGTAATAATTAGATCTTAATAACTAAATAATTAAATCTTAATTAATAATTAAATCTTAAACTTCAAAAACTTAAATGAAAATTAGACATGTTGCCCACTAAATACTAACTAACTGAAATAAAATTTGAAGTACTAAAATTGATATTAATAATAAAAATAATAATAATAAAAATTAAAGCTAAATAATAAATTGAAGCTATATAGAAATATAAAAAAATTAAAAGAAATGACAAAGGCACAAAACAAAATTACTAAAACTTAGATTAAATTGAAAACTGAAAATATAAAAATAAAATCACATTCAAAATATTAATAAATACTATTAATAGTATATAAATAATACTAAAATAACACTGAACATAAAGATTACGGTGTTTTAGAATAACTCTTACTAAGTTACCAACTATTTCCCTTTTCTTTTTCTTCAGCTGAGTACCAGCAGCCTCTCATGCTTGGCACAGACACTGTCTCCCGAAAAGGCTCGACGTTCAGACCCATGGACACCGAGGCCAAAGACAAGGACATCGAGGCAACTTCTCACTACGACCACCTGCAGACGGGCATCCAGTACGCCCTGCCACTGACCAATCAGGAGCCAGAATACGCCACGCCCATCATCGAGCGCCACGCCTTCCGCAAAGATCCCTTCCTTCCGGATCCCAGCTACAGCGTCCCAGGCGTTGTACTAAACAAAAGCCCATCGTTTCGAGCGGTGGAGGGCAGTAACTGTAGGAAAGTGATCGGAGGGCTGGCCGGGGGCTACCAGGCGCCCCACATCAAAACGGACAGGGGGAATTACCCAGAAGACATCTACGACAGCCCTAAAATCCAGAAACCCGTCATGCAGAACGGGAGTTGTTCGGAGTACCAGAGACCCCAGATTAAATCCCAGGTTCAAGAGTGCTATTCCACTCCCAGAGACTGCGTCAGACTGCCTTTCTCCGGACTCAGGCCAGACCCAGAGGGTAGCAGCTCAGAAGGAAGCTGAGAAGAACCATACTGTGATGTTGCCTGATTTACCGGACTCAACAAAATCACCTCCAGACTCTACTTAACTTATTTGTGCATGAGGGACAACTTGTTTTTGCATTTTTGCGGAGGCCGTAATGGATGCGATCAGTTTGTGTAATTTAACAATTTTTTTGTATATATATGATGTACTTTGTCTTGATGAATCGAGATTTCTTAAAAATGTTCCTGTTTGTTCAAGTTTTGTTTTAAATCAAATGCAATATGCAGAAATTTGAAGGGGACAAATGCGTTCATTCCCTTATCAGACACAAACTGTGAATGCGAGCCAGGTTTTCATGTGTTCTAAAATGTGACCATCATCTCGATCTTCTCAGACTCTGCTTCAGATATCCTTAAAAGGACAATTTCACTGATTTTCAACCATCTTTGCATTGTTAAAATGTTGGTTATGTAAATGTTCAATGTATACTCTTTGTCCATGTTACTTCCCTACTGGTGTAACGCAAGTTCCTGAGCAGTTACTTTGATCCGTCTCCTAAAAGGTGACCTAGAACCATTCCACGTTCATGTCTCTTCACCAATCAAAACACATGAAATTAATTAAAAACACTTTTTAAGTAGCCTAACACATCTAAACTGGAAGCAAGCTGTGTGTCGATGCAACAAAATTTGCTTAATTCCATAATGCAAGCAAAATGATGATCTGGAAGTGATCTGGTCTGATGTGCAAGTGTATATTGGGTGTAAGGGTCGTACGCTTATGTTAGATTCAGCTGTTTTGGATAATTTTTCATCTCTCATTCTGCTGTATGCAATTGCATTGTTGAATCTCAAAGGTTTTGATCTTTCTTCCATGCCGAGTAATGTTATGTTCACTTTGTTTTGGACTCCCCTTGTTCCATGTGAAAATTGGCTGTTTAAAGCAATAACAGACTAAAATTGCTTATTTCATACTCTCTTTATTTGGATTGTCTATAGGAGTATAGACAATCCAGTTTTGAAATTAATATTTAGTAAAAAAAAAAAAACATGTTACTTTGTGCTGTCAATGATTATTTAAAGGGATAGTTCACACAACAATTGTTGTTTTTCATTCTCATGTAATTCCAAACCCATATGTCTGACTTTCCTCTGTGGAACATGAGAAAAAAATTATAAACAATGTATTTCCCATAATTAAAGTGAGAGGCTGCAAGCTCAAAAGTTCCACAAAAGAGATAAAGTCATACTGGATTGGAGTATATGATGGAGGTATTTAGGTATTTTCGTTTTCAGGTGGGCTATCCCTTTAAGCATCCGGAAGACCTGTGAGTTGCTGCTGTTTAAGGGACAATCCCTGTTAAAGATTACTGACAGGTCTTCATTTCTGTGAAATGTTTTGGGGGATGTGCTCGGGGACCGATGGTTAATGTTTGATATGCCCATGAGGATCTGGTCATGCTGGTGTGTTTTAGTGCTTTGCCACTGAGAATCTCAGTGCTGTGTTTGTGCTTGTCCAAACCCTGATTAAAAGCACCAGTAGTTCAACATGTCCTGTGATGGGTGCTTTGCTAAAAAAAAATGCAAATGTCTTTTAAAAATGTGAAGAATCGGCATGATTACGTAAGTATTTGGTGAAAGCAGGATGTCACGCATGAGGTGTCCCTGTGGGACAGTCATCAGGAATGTAAAGTTGGAGTGTTAGTTATGGGGCAGCAGCTGATGGTGACCCTGCTGTTTAAATCTACCGTTCAGGCGTCCTGCATCACATTTCACACCCAAAGTATGTAACATTAAAGCACAGCAGTGAATCCCTGGCCTGACTGACTGCAACAAATGTTAGTCCATGTGTATCCGATTCTGGTATACCTATGTGCAAATGCAATCATTCAGGAAGGAAGAACAGGTATAAAATATGGTAAATATATATATATTAAGACGTAGGCTAAAGCATGCAGAGAGTTTGGTAACAGTTAAATAACTAACAAACATTATTATATTATAACATCTTATTCATCTGCGCCAGCTGCTGATGTGTTAAGCATTGTACAGTATAATGGTTGTTAACGACTTATGTGTTATCAAATATTAGCACTAAGAAAAAGGTTGTGTCATAAACTTAGAAGGCTCGCGAAACAGCTTTGTGTTTTGTATGCAGGTCTTTGTGGGAAGCGGAACTTTCTGTGGGCTGTTAGTTCACGCCAGGGTGCGTTCCCAGTTCACACCTGCGCGTTAAATAACGAATCCTGCTAGATTATGAATATTAATAAGGTCGGTATTACGTTGCTTTCCTTACCTTCATAAGGCGCAAAGTCATATATTAATATTAAAATTAAAAAAATTATAAATAAAGTTTATAGTTAACTTGGATATTCCATTTGCCTCGCGACCATTTACGATCGTCTGCCTTCTGTTGCAAAGCCGACTGGGCGAACGTCACGTTACGTAATTAATATTCATGAGCTCATCGCTTCTGCCGCAACTGTTGTTTCTGATATTTTGTATTTGCTTAGTTTAGTGTGTATGAAACTTTAAACTTACTTTTTTTGTAGTATTATCATCCAGACCTTTACTGAAGCCAATATGTGGACGAACCCAGAGCGGCGTTACATGGTAGGCTAAGTTAACTTTCTCAGGATGTGCAGGTGGAACCACATTTTCTAGCGATGATGACAGGATATAGCATTTTATTTAATCATATTATAGAGAGATAACAAGAGCAGATTTCCATTTGTACATCCCTGGAATTATTATTTTTTTTAAAGCATATTTATTCATTAACAAATGTCTCCATTAAGACAAAAATCTTCCTGAGATTTGAATTGGCTTAACCCTGTAAAGCCTGATATTAAAAAATAGTAACAAAAGAAAAATGAAACATTTTATTAAAGTATCATATTTGATATATCACGCTTTTATGATCAAAGCTCAGTAAATTATTGTAGGGGCCAAACATAAAATGCAAATGTAAAACGATAATTGAGAGATGAACGTTTTACGTATCGAATATAACAGCAGGCTTAAATGTTTTGTACTTGTTCTGTCAAGCCTGTCGTACTGCCACCTCACGTTTAAATGAGTTACTGCAACTGCACCCCAACAAAACACGATGCTCTGGGCAAATAAATGTAAGTTTATTGAAACATTTCATGTCATACAATAACTACATGTGGAACATTTATTCCCAATCTCCCTATGACATTTCCCATGACACTGGGAATGAGTTAACAGAAAAATAATCACAAAAAAGGATTGGCTATGTTCCTCCATGTCAAAGTTGCATCTGTGTGGTGCCATGCCCTGGCAGTGTGGGAAGCATTTCAGATCACAAATCATCTCCCAGATGAAAATAAAACTAACAACAGTCCACTGAACCAGCTCACATACTGATAAAGAGAAGACCTTACGGCCAAAGGAGCTGATTGTCCCGACTGCCCTCATATGCCTAACATCTACAAACACCTGTGACAATTACAGTGTGAAGCAAATAACTTATGAATATTTCATATTTATCACTCAAGCTATGCTTCCTTGCTGAAAAACCTGCTTAAACCAGCCTAAGACCATCTTAACCACCAAGCTGTTTTTTTTCCAGCAGGGTAAAGCAATTGTTTAGGGAATGTTTTATTGCTATGCAGCCCATATGTTTCATTTAAATATAGAGTAATCAATGTACAGACATTCAGACTGGAGCATTAAATGGTGATAAACACCTTTCTGAAAATGCTAGTGAGAGAACAGATTGAGAGAAAAGTGATATGTTAAATAACTCAATGGTAGGAAAGCAACACTGATGATTATAGGAACTCTTCTAGAGATCTATACAGTAGTGATCTTACAATTCACAGATTTTGAGGCACTACAGCCGACTCTACTGAGAATGAATATAGGGCAAGTTAGTTGTTGAGAATCCTCATCCTTAATTTCAGTTCACTTTTATGTTGTTGTTTTTTTCACAGAATATAAAGAGTAAATTGGCTTGGATTAAACACGCTATGCTACATCGCTGTGTAAAAATGCAAGTACACTTCCCTAACCGGTTCATATTAGTATCTTCTCCAAAGACAGTGTTAATACAGTAGGATCAATGACACTATCAGGTCTAGATGGACATTGTTCAGTAAAGATGTTTAAAAATACCTTGATAGATATGTAAGGGCGGATATATTGAAAGCTTGAGAGGAATGTCTAGGTCACATTTCACCCTAAAATAAATTAAAAGGAAAAAAGGTACTTATTTTTTTAAATAAAGAAAATGTTTAATTTTACGGAACATTAATTATTAATATTTGTTGTTTAATGTTTTCTATGGGGTAAAATATGACCTGGATATCTCTTCTATGAAATCCACATCAAAATTCATTGTAGATCAACTAAATGGCACCTCTCCACTTCTGTTCTTGCACTGTTGGTGAAGTAAGCAAAGAAATGAAAGCACATGGGTGTGCACTATTAGTAAAACTCCGCTGTGTCGTTTCTGTCCCTGTCACCTACTGACCACCCTGTGTGCAAAACAGGAAGTAGCATCATCCTGTTTGCCTTTGCTTTAGAGCAGAGGACAGCTAAGTACAGGATCACATTAGGCTAAAACAGAGAGGTTAAAAACAATGTGCGTACATTTTGAGCAAACAGTAGTTTGTTTTAACATCTACTTCAGTACAAGAGAAGAAGAGTGAATCATTAAAGTAGGAGCCCTACATTTGAGCTCATATTCAGCTCACCTACGGAGGGTCATTAAATGCACAGAGAGGTCACACAAAAGAGGAAATCAAGAATCAAAACTCTTATATCATATAATTCCATCCCATCACTTTACTCGTCTATGTAAATTGTCATTGTTTCTTTACAACTATAAAGCAAGATGGTGACATACATTTGCAAACAATCCTTTGTGGCCACTGAGTAACATTATGTCCTCTTCTCTCAGTGTTTCTCAGTGGTTCATCCATCTCCAGGGGACGCTGAAGCAGTCTGTTCTCCAAACGGCATAAAACAAGAAGAATCTGGTATGTTACATATTATACATGTGCAGACGTAATCTCTTTCTGGTCTCTGTCTCTGCGCCTGACGCTCCTCTCTCTCTCGTCTCCAGGATCCTTCTGTTAGTCTGGAGATCTAGGAGGAACTCTCTCCAGACTCTGCTGTCTTGGAGGTCTTGTCGTCTGAGGGGCATTCACTCGACAAGGCGGCATCTCCATTCTCTGTTCTGTTGTTCACTAAGTGCTTCCCTACAGCTGTGAGGAGAAAACAAACCATTGGTCAGTTTAGATCAACGTCACAATTTTCCATTAGGCTTTGGTTTTTATGATTAAACTGCTGCATAGACTATAACAATATCATTGCATACAGTACAGCCCAAAAGGGTCAGTAAGATTTTTTTTTTGAAAGAAATTTATACTTTTATTAAACTGATCAAAAGTGACAGTAAAGATATTTATGAATGCTGTTATGTTAAACTTTCTATTAACAAAATAATACTAAAAATGGATCACGTTTCCCACAAAAATATTAAGCAATATAGCTGTTTTCAACATTAATAATAATAAGAAATGTTTCTTGAGCAGCAAATCAGATACTCACCCTTTCTCTAATTGTCAGTAATGTATATTTTTGTACTGAATTTAATTAAATTAAAAAGTAGCATGTTACAATTTTTTTTTTTTGAGGGAAGTGTGCTTCATTGTCCTAAAAATACAAATAAAAAAAAAGTTAATTATTTTTAAAATATAGAAAATTGTTTAATTCAGTACCATTAATTATTATTGGTCTTATTTTGCATTGTGCCATTATTTTCATGAGAAATAAGCACATTAACCCTTAAATTTCTCTTTTCAGTATTTAATTGTTTTATTTACATTTTTTAAATTGAAATATTAAATATTGAAAACTGAGTGACTGTAAATTTGAGGGTATGTATGTCCTTAATTGGAAATTAAAAAACAAATTAGCATGTTACAATGATGAGAATTTTGCGGGAAATGTCTTTAACTATTTTGAAAA